GGGAACATTTTCTTCGGCTTTTAATGGTCAATATAAGATGGAAACTAATTTAGGCATTTTTCCCCTGTAAATTAGGATGATCGTCTTTGCATGCTGTTTCTAATTAGCATGCTTAGGGAACTATGCCAGTAAATACTTGAAAATACATGTTTAACTTTTTTTAATGTGTTAATGCAACAACTAGTTTTTAGATATGTTTCTACTATTTTCTTGAAATGACTGGAAAAGCTAATTAGATATTTCAATACCAGCTTAAGCATTGGGTTTTAATTCCAACTGGACGCTTTATTATCTACTAGCTCTTCCTGTCTTACCTTTTTAATAATTATCGTAACATTGTTTTCATTATAAATTTCATACAAGAAATCTATAGAAGTTAAATTTTCCCTTCTTAACAAATTCCCCAAGGATGAATATCCTATGCAGACTACATTTCCAATATTATATGGAAATTGAGTTTCAGCTGAAAAACGTAAGTGAATTTAATATCATTGTTTGTCTGTTGTTTGGCATTTTGGTCCTAGATGCCATAGAAGCTCGGGTATTCTTGTAAAGTCTTTAAGTCTTGGGCTGATCTGATTAAAGTCCGGAAACCTGTCATATGTAAAGCAGCTTTACATATGATTTACCCACATAAAGACAAAAAACAAATGTGTTTTGGCTTCTCCTGAGAAGTCTGTTGCAGTTGGATTCGAGCTTCTAAGAAAGATAGAGGAAATTAATTTGAATAGTGTATGCTGTTATCTTTGTGGATCACACACATATATTCCCCAATACTTATAGAACTTTGAGAACATATTAAGTGAATATAATGATGATGTCTTTGTGTTTCCATTTATATATTCTTTTGACTCATTATGCCTTTATGCCGTCTTTTCTTCTTTTCAGCAACATTATTGATGAAATTTTTGTTCTATTTTCAGCTGCAATACAATGTTTGAAAAGGAAAAGGCTCTATGAGCAGCAAGTCGAACAGCTTGGAAATTTCCAATTACGTATCCACGATCAGGTGCTCTTGATGTTTCCCTAGATCTCACAATCTTTGCATGCATTTTGCGCCATAACATCATAATAAGCATAGGCTGAATTTATTTCATTGGTTTTCGGTTTCAGATGATACTGTTAGAAGGTGCAAAAGCCACAACAGAAACTGTTGACGCTTTGAGAACTGGAGCGGCTGCAATGAAAGCCATGCAGAAGGCAACGTAAGTTGTATCAGCGCTATGTTGCTGCAGTATTTTTAACTCTGTTTTGCATAGTTACACAGCTTTTGCACAGAAAGACTTTTGTCCTACAACACAAAATGTTCAAACGATATATAAGAGGTCTCGGTACAGACCTTTGTCGGATATTAGATAGCATGTTAAAGCACCAAATTTCCTTGTAGTCTTCTTTGTGCATTAAATTTGAAAAAATGTATTCTGTCACAATCGAGTCAGTAGAGAGGCTTGAACCATAATCTTAGCGGACATATGCCATTTTAATAGATGGCTTAAATTCTTTAATACTTCTATGGTCCAGTTATTAGTAGCAGAGTTACAGAGAAGCAGTCTACACAAAAGCATGATTACAGTTTCGTGATATCTCTCACATCTATGCAGTGTTGTTCTTTGTGGTGTCCAGAGTTTTTCGTCGCATCAATGTCAAACTTAAATATATGCTAGAAATTAATTTCTTATTTTTGTTATGTTTGGGTATCTTTTGTTAAATGAGGTTTTCTTGCCTGATACTGTCTAATTTTTCTGTTCAGGAATATTGACGATGTTGACAAAACAATGGATGAAATCAACGAGCAGACTGAGAATATGAAAATGATTCAGGAAGCATTATCTACACCAATTGGTGCAGCAGCTGATTTTGATGAAGTATCTACTTGGGCAATTCTTTGTTCTTTTATAATATCTCCTTTCTGTTTCTGGAAAATAATTTGTATTACTTTTTGCAGGATGAGTTGGAGGCAGAACTTGAAGAACTAGAAGGAGCTGAGTTGGAAGAACAACTCCTTCAGCCTGCTGCAACTGCCCCTTCTGCACCTATTCATCTGCCCGCTGGTAGGCAACAAGTGCGTCCTGCTGCCCAGCAGAACAAAGCAGAAGAAGATGAACTTGCTGCTTTGCAGGCTGAAATGGCTCTTTGAAGAGGTCATTTTCTTGTTCTCTCTTTCTTATGATTACAGCTAAGCTATGTTGCTCCGACTCTCTGAAAATGTCGTGGGGCGCGTGTCGGATCCTCCAAAAGTTGTGTATTTTTGGAGGATCCGACACGGGTGCGGCATCGTTTTGGAGAGTCCATGCAACATAGCAGCTAAGTATTTGAGACTAGGAAATCATCATCTCGCTGTTTAACATATATCCTGATTTAGAAGCTACAATTGATCTACTTGCAGGAAAAATTATTGGGTACTGTTTTAATCGGCCAGTTATAAATTAATAATGCTATACCTCAGTGCTTCTCCAAAGAACTTCTAGTTTTTGGCTCAATTGTTTGTCTTGGTTGTCTTTTGTGGGTTTTGCAGAAACAGCGTTCTTGACCCGGAGGGGCATAAGTGGGTGGTATAATATGCTTTATTAACTACTCCCTCCATCCCAATTTATGTAGCGGTGTTTGATTAGGCATAAAATTTAAGAAAGAAAGGAGGACTTTTGAAACTTTTGGTCTAAAATAAGCCATAGAAATTTGTGCGGTTGTAAATCATCTCATTAACTTTAAAATGGGAGGTTTAAAGTTAAATTGTTTCTAAATAATGAAGTATGACATTCTTTTTAGGACTGACTAAAAGGAAAGAGTGCTCTCACAAATTGTGACGGAGGGAGTTCAACTCCTGCACTTCCATTAGTTATCAGCTCAATTTAATGTTGCTCATAGATTTTGCGATTGTTTGAAGGAAAGAACGTTCCACATAAAACTTAGCATTATATGAAGCTGTTGTTATACAAACATATTTACAAGTTGTAGGTTAAGCAAGATTAAAATGGAAGTGTCCATTTCACATTCCTCATTTTCACCTGTTTTCTCGTGGAAGTTAATCAATTTCTGCCTATATATGGAATGAGTGTAGTGGAAGCCATCATATACCTCCATGTTTGCTTGTTTTCTTTGCTAACCTGCTTCCTTTTCCTAACTCATTGTTTCCTCAATCGTTATGCTTCCTTTCCAACTCTTGAAACCCAATTCAAGACTTACCTTACCTCACTTCTTTCTCAACCCCTGGAACCCCACTAAAGGAATGTAAACAAGAACTCCCCGTAAATGGTCGTATTGCATTCATCCGACTTCTTTCTCACTACTCTTTCAAGATGCCAACTGAATATAGAACTCTTCTTCTTTTCAAGGACATGTATTGAGTATTAACAACTTTATGTAATTGACACCAAATTCATAGTTATTTTGCCAATGGGATTGAATATCATGATGTAGCGGAAATCTTGTATTTTTCACTGACACATACTTCAATCTGTCATTTGATGTTTTGCAGTTATAATCGCCAAATAAAGAAGCGAATGCTGTAAAGATTGAATGTACTCTTGTGGTGGATGATTGCTTGAATTCTTGATGACCATGCTGCCTTACAAGTAACTGTATAGATTACAGGAGTTGAAATGGGAAGAGTGTGCTACTTTTATGTGAAATTTTTATTCTTGAAATTATACAAAAATTGTCTCTTCTAGCAACATTAAAGTGCACTTTTGTTCTCCAACTTGATGTTGTGAGTACCTGGCATTCTTCAGCAATCTGGTCAATCATATCTATCAATTTACTTATCAACCAAACCCCATAAGTTTGTTCTGATATGAATTGCAATCAGCTTATCTGAGTATATCATTGCTTCAAAATTGCGTGGTGTCAATGTATAAACCGAGATCAACGCCTATAACATTCTCGCTGGTGTACAAATCAGTTGGCTCGTAGTGACGAATTCACTTAGCGGATTTCTGTCTATGCTAGGATCTGGACTCTGAGTTTTCATTTCACTGTTGATCACTATGTCACACGCTAATGTCCGAATCAGTTGGCTCGCACCTCGGCTATTTTACTTAGCGGATTTCTATTTATGCTAGGATTTGGACCCTGGTCCCTCATGGGGTTCTCATTTCAATTCATCGACCACTGAGTCACACCCTTTAATGCTCATGTGTTAACTTGTTCTTTGGTGGAGTAAAATCTTTTTTACTTATGGGTAATCTATTGCATATAACAAATAATACTACTTGTTATGACATTGCACATGTTGTGGTTGATTGAGTAGATAATCCTAATCAAAACCATTGTGGTGCACTAATGAGAATAATAGGATACTTGAGAGGCATCATCTGTTATGGACTAACTTTTGTTGGGGGTTTGAGGCATTAGTTGTTCTATAGTATAACTTGGGATGGTCAAATCAAAGGAAATGAGGAGGAAGTTGGCAAACATAGCTTTTTAAAATTTGAATAGAAAAGAATGATTCCTTATAAATTAATGATTGAATCATTGAAGTTTAATTTTGTATTCCATTGTATTTGTAATTTTACTCCTATAATTTGTTTTCCACAGGAGATCAATAAAAAAAATAATACAGAAGATTTGGTAAACATAGCTTTTTAAAATTTGAATAGAAAAAAATGATTCTTTGGAAAATAGTGATTGAAGTTTAAATTTTATAGTCCATCATATTTGTAATTTTACTCATATAACTTTTTCCAGGAGATCAATAAAAAAATAATTTATAAAAATTACGTAGGAGTATTATAGCGCATGTGGAGTGGTAAATACCCCTCAATTCATAATTCGTGGGAATAATTTTTTTTTTAATAGAGAATGCTTTACACCTTAAATGTTCAACGTAAAACTTTTCGACATGAATTTAGATTATAAAAACACAAATGAAAATATAAAAAAAATTCCATGATTAATGGTGAATAGAATTTGACTCGAGTCAGATTTTATCAGGAAGGATGTTATTAGCTGTCCGAATCTATACTATTTATTCTGCACCAAACACTGAAAAACAGACAGCTAAAAAATAAAAGGACCATACCCATACCCATACCCATTGTACATTAAAGAAAACAAGAGTCACAGTATCCAAGCTTAATATCAACGCCACTTCTACAAAAACACATCAATTTATCAACCCCATTTCCATTTCACATATCTTGAACAAAGTTTTTGTGTGAAATAGTAGCAATTAGCAGTAGGAAATTTAAAGATGTCATGGCAAACGTATGTTGATGATCATTTGATGTGTGAGATTGAAGGTAATTACCTCACTTCTGCTGCTATTATCGGCCAAGACGGTACCGTTTGGGCACAATCCAACAATTTCCCTCAGGTTTTTTTCTATACCAACATCTAATTTTGGCTTAATTTTACTTGGGTTCACTTCTTTTTAGAATTTTAAGTCAATAGTTAGTAGTCCCAAAAATTGATACATCTCTATATTTAAAAATAATTTAACTTTAACATAAGATATTTATAGCCACAGAGATAAATTTTTGTTCATAACCGTGGTGTCCGGTCACCTCGGCTAGTTTTACGGGCTGCATACTACCTCCCACAAATATAGGTATGGGTAACTTTATCCCAAAGCTTGGACAGATGGAAAAAAATACCTTAGTCTTTTTGCTTCCTTGGAATTTGAGCATGTGATCTCATGGTTCTCGGTCCACCTCATGTGCCACCACGCCACGCCCTCAGGTGCATAGCTACACTAATCAGAGGCGAATCTAGGATTTGATGGCTACGGTGCCACTATTTTAATGCAAATCGACCACTAGCGAAGGAGATTGAATTAGGGTGTATATTCAGTCGATTTGATTCGTTTTGGATTTATTCGGTTCGATTCGATCCATTTTGAATTAATTCAGTTCAATTTGAGAGATTTTTTTATGCATAAACGAATATGTGATACGTCACTTCAATCTATATGTGGCTGATTAACATTATCTCTTTAATGCGTCACTCTAAAATTTTTCTGAAATTAATAAAATAACATGAGATGGGTAAAAAGAGAAATAATTAAAATTACATCCAAATAAAATTTGAAGATCAAGAAAAAGAAAAAGATAAAGGAAGCAGATATACAATTTATATAAATACTCCCTCCGTTTCAATTTATGTGAACTTATTTCCTTTTTAGTCCATGCCAAAAAGAATGACCTCTTTCCTTATTTGGAAACAATTTACCTTTATGCAATGATTTATAGCCACACAAAATATATGTACCTCATTTTACACCACAAGTTTAAAAGTCTTCTCTCTTTTCTTAAACTTCGTGTCCAGTCAAATAGGTTCACATAAATTGAAACGGAGGGAGTAATAAAAATGGAATTGATCAAAAAAGTGAATAACAAAGACGAAGAAAATAAAAGAAATTTAGAAAAGGAGCATAAAGAAAAGAAAGGAAAGGTAACAAGGAAGAACTAGGACCATTATCCAGGGAGTCTCGATCTTTGGTCGAGCATGTGGGATTTCAACGCTTCAACCATGGCACCTGCAATCATTTTATGACTTAGGGTGCCACTCCTTGTTTCACTAGGTGGGGACAGAGGCGGACCTACGTTATGGGTTGAGGGGTCACGGGACCCCGTTAGCCTCGGCAAAAATTACTGTATATATATGTTATATATATATCTGTCTATATATATGGGACCCCTTAAATATTTAAGATGTGCCCCCAAACACAAAAAAGGCGGATGGAGAAGTGGTTGCGTTGGGAATTTAAGCTCGCTTCTTGTCTAGATGACGTGAGTTCGAAACCCCTTTTCAGCCTTTTCTCCTTTTTGTTTTAGTTCTTGGAATACAACAGTTTTTAGACTTAATAGCAAATTGCTTTAATTTAACTTTTATCTTCTTTTTGAATTCAACTATAGCCTAGTACTAATACATAATAGTCAACTTAATTAGTTTTATTCTCTTTCAAATCCCTACCTTAAAATTAAAAGCCTCAAATTTCAACTTATTGCTCCACAAATGAAAAACATACAAATCCTTCTTCAACAATCACTTTGACTCTGACCCGGCAATGGCAACTAAGAGTTTGAAATTCTTCTTCAGTTCTTTGACTATTAACATACCCATAATCTTGATTTCTTTAGTAAATTTTGATAATTTAAACATACTTTTTTTTATTAAAATACTAGAAATTTAAAGTGTGAAACATGCTTAATCAAACACTTTTCCTTTCCATAGCATCCATCTTGAAAAGGAATCTCTCTTTGTTTAGTGCTTTCTGTTTCTTTAGAACTTCTTTTTATTTATACTCGAACGATAAGTCATCATAATATTAAGTTTTCAAAGAGTTGCACGCTGAATTTAATTTATCGCTAGTGATTAGCATACAGTGGTGCCCCCGTTGTGCTCAAATCCTGGGTCCGCCTCTGGGTAGGGGTAAGGTCTGCGTGCGCACTGCCCTTCCCAGACCCCACATGTGGGAATATACTGGGTCTGTTGTTCTTATTGTTGTATCCGAGACCGGGTGGCGCGCCACCCCCAACCCCATGCATAGATCCGCCCCTGACACCAATAGTTACGACTTGTTTTACGCCACATGTTTCAAAAATTATTTTTTCTTTCTTAAACTTTGTGTTCAGTGAAACAAGATCACATAGATAAACGCCCATGCTCAATCAAACAATGTTTCATAAATTAGGACAGAGGGAGTACTTCTATTTAGATAATTGGGAATTTAATGCTAATATGAATATCTTAGAATTTATGTCGTTTAGTATGGAACTCAAGCAGAAGGTAGTGGGTGACTGGGTGTATCAGCATCCAGTATTACGATTCTCGAATCTGTTTATGTAATTGGTGAAGCTTTAACTGTTTCTAAAGCAAGTATGGATTTTATTATGAATAGTCTTTAAGCTTTAACATTTGTTATCTTACTTTTTTTAGCTAGTTGATATGTGGTGCAACTCGTGTTGAGCAATTTTGTACTGTTAGTAATTTTTTGTGAGTGTTAGGTTCTAATTTTAGAGACTTGTATGTCCACGTGTAAGTGTGTGATTTAGAGACCCTCTAAGACAGCCTTATGCCTATGGTGAAGCCCACCTCATCTTGGTCTTGCCCCAATGACTTGGAGGCTTAGCTTCAATTGTGCAGCTCGTTTCATGTCAAGGCTTCAACCTTGGCTAGTTAGCATATTCTTGGCGCGCATCTCGTAAGCTAGTCACACTTACGTGTGCACGCTGAGATGACTAGGATCATTTTCGTCCAACGCGTGGCACTGAGCGTCGCTCATGCGTACAGAGTCCAATTTTTAAGCTTGACACTAGCCTTGTGTCTGTCATGGCCTACGCGACTGATGCTTTGCAGGATTAGAGAAATTGTTTTAAATCTTGGCTGGTGTATAGTTGTGTCCATCATATAATGCCTTCAAGTATCTCGTAGCATTGGCAAACGTTGTCCTCGTAACAAAGATATTATCCAGCATAGCGCAGCGTGCACATTTAGGCCAATGGACTCTTGCTTGTAAAACCAAATGGCCCAAATCTAAGCCATGGTCACAAGTCAACACTCGAGACTCTTGGAGTGGTGTCTCGAGTGCTCAATCGCCACAGAGGTATTTACTGTTTGACATTCCCAAAAAATAGCTCGCAGGGCAAAGCCGTTTTTTCATTTTCTAAACTTCCCAACACCATTCCTGTGGGCAACGGCTTGTTGGGCGCGAGATAGAGTTGCACTGACAAGCATTGGTGAGCTTGTCATTAATTGTGTTCTTTTTTGTGGCAGTTTAAACCAGAAGAAATAACAGCCATAATGAATGACTTTGCGGAACCTGGAACACTTGCTCCAACTGGTTTACATCTCGGGGGAACAAAGTATATGGTGATTCAAGGAGAGGCAGGAGCTGTTATACGAGGCAAAAAGGTACATGACCCTGGGTTCCTACTATTGCATTTCATGTAGTCTCCTTCTGCCATATATTTGAATATCCTTATCTAAAGCAGGCAGGAAAGTTTAATAAACTCTCACTTGCACCTCTTGATGTGCTCAAACAAATTTTTGAATCTTCTTTCTCTTTAGCCATATGCAAGTGTCTTGGATACAACACCTTTTTTTTCTTTTTGCTTTTTTATCACTGCCTCTCGCCATAAGATGAGAGATTTGTTTCAACTTAGATCTATAAGACCAATTTGAATAAAAACTATTGAAGTGTGGCCATCTCATCGAAAAGATTAAGCTGCTAGAGAGAATACACTTTTATTTATTTAATTATGTCTCAACATGCCTCTTCACATGTGGGTCTGATTCTTTTTCATAGCCCAAGCACGTGAAAATTTTTCTTGATAATGCTTGACGGTGAGATTTGAACTTAGGATCTCTACCCGCTTGGATGCCATGCTGGAATTGTGTGACCATCTCATCTAAAAGTTTGAACCATCGGGGAAAGCACATTGTATTTACTTAATTATCTAACAAAGATCATTGTAGTGGTGTCGATCTTCTGTGCTGGCATTTTCCCTGCTGTAGTACATGAAAGTAGATTGCACAATGCTTCACACGAGATACCCCGAAATTTAGATCAGATTATGTGGTAGAGAAGTCCTCTCATTGCAACTTTTGGCCTTCTGTGATTTTGTCATCCTGTCTTCATCCTCGATATTTTCAGGGTCCCGGTGGTATCACGGTTAAGAAGACCAACCAGGCTTTGATCATTGGAATATATGGCGAGCCGATGACTCCTGGGCAGTGCAATATGATTGTCGAAAGGCTGGGTGACTATCTCATTGAGCAAGGTCTCTAGACATACTAGTAGGTTGATCTCTAACTTCCTTTCCCCCCTCGGTATCTTTTTCCTTTTCTTTTTTCCTGTTTTAGTACGACTACTTCTTTCTTTATACAGTCAAACCTCTCTATAGTAGATTCGTTAATTCCGGTATTTTCTGGCTGCTAGAAGTTAGAGAACACAGATTATAACATAACATGAAAAATGGTTCTAAAGAAAACTTGACTGTTATAATGAAGTGTTGTTATAAAGGATGGACGTTATAGAGATGTCTGACTATACCTCTTTCTCAAGTCCACCCATTTGCTCTATTTCTTTCGGCTTTTTATCAACTTATACTTTGTTAAATCCTTTTGCAGTGTATTAATATCCTACGTAATTGAGGCCGTGAAGAAGTCTTGTGTGCTGTACGGGGGAGAGTTTCGATCTTTCTGTGTATCAACTATATGCAGTCATTGTAACATTTTTCTTTGTTTTTCCTCGTGAGCTTTTGTCATTGACCTATTGGTTGATTATTATAATGGAATGGCTTATACTTGAATATTTAGCTTTGGTTAGATTGAAATCTTTTCTTTTGGCTTTAAAAAGATTGACATTTTTGGTCTGTGTAATCTACAGAAAATGAAGTACAGGTTCCAGCAAAGATTTTGTTGGTGTTTGGTTTTGACAACAGGATATTAACTCTACAATGTTATGTTTGTCTGGAGCAGATGCGGATCCATAACTTAAACTATATGGGTTCAGCCTTTATACCAGGTTTTGGGGTCACAATTGAACCTATACCCACTTTGCAAAAATGTTTGCAAGCGTACCCACTTTACGATGTCTGAAGTTAAAAAAAATTAGTCTGAAGTGAAAAAATTGCACTTCAGATGCACTTACGTCCAAATAGGTCTGAAGTGCAACCAATGATTTCATGCACTTAAGGCCAAAAAGTCTGAAGTGCAACAAACGTTTTGCTACACTTAGGCCAATAAGTCTGAAGTGAAAAATTGCATTTCAGATGCACTTAAGGCCAAAATGTCTTAAGTGCAACCAATATTTTCATGCACTTAAAGCCAAATAGACCTGAAGTGCAAATTGTCCAGAAACAGAAATTTATTCTTCGAATTATAACAATCAAATATATGATTTAATACATAAACTACTCCAAATGAGCTTAAATTTGAAATATAGCCTCCAAATACCAACAAGAACAAACCCCAATTATCAATTTGTCAAAACAACAATAAATCTAACGAACTTATTTTGCAATTAAGAAAAAGAAGAAGAAGAAACCCTAAGCAATAGTAAAAATAAAGCGTCATAACAACTCACAATTGTAAAACATCATAAACTATCTTAAAATATGTTCACAAACACCATATAAAATCAGTGTCATCCGAAGAAGAGGCCTAAAGTTGTTTAAAAAGTAGGTACAAGTTAAAACTTTTTTAAAAAGTGGGTATAGATTAAATGGGGGCGATCAAATAGGGCGCCCGTGTAATTTTTTGAGATTTTTAGCATTGAACTCATTATATTTATAAGGCTGTGGGTTTAAATCTGCTATTTGTTGCAATTTTAGTATATTTTATACTTAAATTTATGCTCCACATCGAAAGTCATGAGTTCAGTTGAACCCGTACTTGATCGATTATACTTCCAGAGGGGTAAAAAAGAAGCTTTTGGCAAAAGAACAACTCATCTCAAGTTGAATTATTGCGTACAAGAACTTATTAAGTTGAACAAAAACAAAACAAAACAAAAAAAAAAAAAAGAGGAAGATCTGTATGATAAAAGAGATAGGTGATTTCTTCTCTATCTGTCCAACCACCTCTCGGTGGATAGAGTTATTCAGTACTTTTGTTGATGGAAGGTAACATGTACCTCGTGAAATTAGTCAAGGTGCGCGCATGTTGACCCTGCCACCCAGAGTTATAATAAAAAAAATGAGAAAGTAATTTTGGAGTCTTTTAAAATATAAGTCGAAATTTATAAACGACCCATTTAAGTTGTCCTCAACGATCAGATGGACACTTCAATTATGCTAATGACCAGACACCTCTTCTCAATTAAAGTGTGACTCATGAACCCCTCACGGTGACATGACAAAGTGCGCCTTCAAAATTAAGTGGGCGTTTGGACATAAGAAATGTAAAACTCAAAAAAAAAATGTGAATTTTTTTCAAGTGAAAATAGTATTTGAAAATTATAGTTGTATTTGAACATGAATATAATTTTGGGTTATTTTTGAAATTTTGTGAATGATATGAGTCAAAATTTTGAAAAACAACTTTTTAGAGATTTTCAAATTTTCAAAAAATTTCAAAATTCATTTTCGAATGAAAATTGAAAATTTTATGGCCAAACATTTCAGGAAAAAATAAAATTTTAGAAGAAAAGTAAAAAAATTCTTATGTCCAAACGGGCTCTTAAGTTTTTCTCTTTAAATTAACCCTACATTATAATGACCCCACTTGCCTTCAACTTCATACCTCTTCTTCTTCAAGTTTTCACCATTGATAAAAAACAAGAACAATTAAAAAGTTTCTTTCAAATTACAGCCAATGGGAAAAACATAAAATATGCACACAATTTCTTCCAATATATACTGTCACAATTACTTATACAATCAATCACAAGCATTGTCGTTATAATTAATCGGATAAATCAAATTTCATACCATTACGGTAGAAGAATCATGTCTAAGATGAAATTTACAACAGTACTCAATAGAGTAAATTGAACCCTCTGAAAATTGATGCTTTAACCAGAATATTATCCCAAAACCAATCACAAAAGAGAGCACAATTTTTTGCTAAACTTTATGGATGAACATACCACCACAACCTTATGGAGGGGG